AATAAATCAAAATAAACCAAATATATACGTACAAGGATCTCAAAATACCATAAAACAACAATCAAATAGAAAAAATAAGTTAAAAATATATGCATGTGCATAGGCTCAATATTTTCTTATACAATTATAATTAAATAAAAAATACTTTAAAATTATGTGTATGAACTTAACAAATTCTCATACCATAGTATATTGTTCTTTTAGATAATTTTGTTTAATACAAAATAGAAAAAAAAAAGATCTATATTTTTAATAGCATGTAATTTATTTATTGATTCATGTAGAATATTATTTGAATGGTTTTCTATCAAGTTGGCATTACAGTTTGATTTTTTAAGAAAAAAAAAAGAAAAAACAAAAATAATGCCTTAATTACTATGAGTAATTGGCACAATTTATGAAAGTATGAGAGAGAAAAAAGAGTATTGTTTTGATTTGATTTCACTTTCTATATAACTTGTAGTTAATTAATTAGATTTTATTAAATATGATTTCACGAAATTGTAGTTAGTTAGAATTTATTAAATGTAAGTGCCAATAAGTTTGGAAGCTCATCAAAATGAAAACGGCGCAAATAAATTGTGTGTGTACTGTGTACTTTTGCTTTAATTGTAGTGGGGCCTTTTCTTATATTTTAATGGTCCATTAAATTAGTTTTTTTCTTAAAAAAAAAAACTTTTATTGGGCCTGTCTTACATACATATGTCATATAGTTGGGTGCCCCTTTCTTCAGTTGGGCCCTGGGCCGTTGCCCAGGTCGCCCTGGGCCAGGGCCGGGCCTGAGTGTCGGGTGCCTCCCCGTCCTCCTTGATCCATGGATGGCCTTCAAATATAAACTAGTTGATAAATATAAACGTAAGATTAAGTTTATACAATGTCATCTGAACAACAACAGAACACGTAAATCATACTTAGCACTTCGGATGCCGTCAGCCTTTGCTTGGGGTCTGAATTCAACATCTTCCTCACGAGGTCCTTTGCTCCACTAGAGATCGAAGGCCATGGGTCAGAACTAAAATCTATGTGCCCGCGTAAAATTGCATCGAATATACAATTCTCCGATTCTGTAAAAATATGCACGTGTTCCCAAATCAGGCCCAAATTCACTTCACATGAAGTGCTTGAAAATTCATAAATAAAGAAAAATACACACACACACACACGTGAACATAAGTGATTTACCGGTCCAGAAAGGCGGAACACCAGAGAGAAGAATGTACAACATGACACCAATGCTCCAAATATCGACTTCTGGTCCGTACCTTCTCTTAAGGACTTCCGGAGCAATGTAATATGCACTGCCAACAATGTCCTTGAAAACTACTCCTGCAAATTTGTTGTGCATTTACAAAAGAGTAAACAATTGAAAACAAAGTAACAAACGATGAACAGAAAAAAAAAAATAAAAAAAAATCTCACTAACCGTATTTGTAGAACACTGAAAGCCCGAAATCTGTGGCCTTGAGGGGCGAGTGGTCATTCTTGCTGAGCAGCAGGAAGTTCTCGGGCTTGAGGTCCCTGTGGATGACCCCCATTGAGTGACACGTGTGCACAATCTGCACGATCGTCCTCAACAAGGATGCAGCCGCCCGCTCCGTATAATGCCCCGCGGCAATGATGCGGTCGAAAAGCTCTGAAAGTTCCATGCACAACTACCATAAGCACACCATTGTTGAAGCACACAAATGAAGAACCAAGCTAGTCATCTTCCTTCCACCAAACATCCTTTTTCACACATGCATGTCAAGGGAGGTGTGCTATATCTTGCCTATAAATAGGCTTGTTATTTCATTCATTCAAATCATCCTAGAGAGAGTGATCAATCAACCTTGAGAGTGTTGAAACACAACCAAGAAAGAGTTGTGGAGTGTTCGAGAGTTTTTTGTTTAGAGTTTGTAAATCTCTTGTGTTTTTATTCTTGTGAGTAATAGAAACTTATTTTTCTCTCAAATTATACTTTTGATCTTGGGATGATACCACAACAAGTGGTATCAGAGCTTGGTTTGAAGCTTTCGAGCTTATTTTCAAATTTTTCCGAGCTTCTGTAGAAATTTCGAGTTTCTGCGCTGTGCTCGAAATTCAATTTCAAGGACACCGTTGGATTCGTCTCGTCGAGACGGTCGCGGTGATATCTTACGGGCGA